GGCTGTTTCTGTAGCGACCCAAGGTGCATTGCATCATTTGATATATTTTTTTTTTTTTTTCTAGAAACTTCACTAATAGAAGAAGCACTAGAATTTAATTGAGCAATTTTGATCTAGTCCATTATTAGCACTATGTCAGGAGAATTGTCAACAATGACTAACAATGATTCTTCCAGCACAGTTATGAGTGTTCCCTTATTTTTTAAACTAGAAGATTCAGACCAGTACTTTCTTGTGCATGCTAGCAGGCATATACCTCCCGTAAGTGACTTAATGACATTCTAAGACTTTATGCTGCAGTATGTGGTAGTTATGATGGATTTATGTTAACCACAGGTCTATGTGAGACCAGCTGGTAGTTATGTTATGGATCGTTTGGAGTTACGCTGCATTACTTCTCATCCAGGCGGCCAAGCTGCTGATATTGTTGTTTTAATTGGTAATTTTAGTATGCCAGCCGGATTAAGAGTTGCAGAAGCTTCTATCTCACGTCAACAGGCATGGATTTGTTTTTATTAATGTTTCTACAAGACAGTTGAAGTTTGACATCTTAATGTTTACGTTTATTCACTCTAATTGTTGGTTAATATAGGTATCTAATGGACATTCTCTTCAATTCTAGGCAGAATTTTTCCCTGAGCTTGGTGCTGTAGTTTTACCCATGGTTACACATCCATTTATTGTGGGCTTCTTGGTTGCTGAGTTTCCAAAGGCGGTAGATAGAGGTTGGCATGGCATGAAAGATTCTTCAGTCTCTGGGAAATCTCTGCCATTGCCCCATAGCATGGACCCACAACCTTTGGATGTGCAATCTTACAAGGATTACTCGGTTAACATGCCGAAGTTTTCTTCAGAACAGAAACTGAATGCCATAAATATCACTCATTCACTAGCCCTGGCTTATGTCATGGATCAGGTATGTTTTGATTCATGATTGCGTGTATGTATATGTATATATATATATATATATATATATATATATAAGGAAATCTCAAAATAAAAGATATCTAGTTATTTTTTCTGGAGTTCAATCCACAGGGATCAATTCCTGAGTTGTCTTCTTGACAGGCTAGCCAGACTTAATTTGCCCACAAATTCAATTCAAACACGAGAAGAAAATCTTCCTAAATACTTTAAATCAAGTTATAACAAGATTGAAAACTAAAAAGTAAGAATAGAAGACAGATGAACTAAAATCAGATTTCACTAAGAACTAAACGGAAAGAGATGAGGAATGAGAGAATGATAATGTCGTCTAACTCTAAATTGACATTTCAAACTAGTTGTTGTTCAACTAAAAAGTTAACACACCTAAAAGCTGCACTCGCGGTAACTATTTTTACCACTGGAATGAACATACACGAACACCTCAAAAAACATAGATGATACAGTCATGGATTCGTATATCCTATTCGGGTTATGATCGAATAATATAACTCCTTCCGGTATCAAGGTTATTTATGTAGAGGCTGATTAGACGTCTAACAATAGGATTCCAACAACACAAATAGATAGAACATTCACCATACTAACTAAATTACAAGTATAAACTCATGAAGATTTCTTCACAAAGATTTCTAAATTTCGGTCATAAGCCAATTCAATGAAGAAAAACTAGAAGAATTGGGAGTGTCACCTTCAAAAACAGAGAAAAATCCGAATATCTAAAGTGAAAATTGTGTTTGAAAGATGCTCTGACATATCATATACAATTTCCATTTATATGGGTACAAAAAGTAGATGAAAGTTCGTCCAGGTGCGTTCAGGTAACGTTTGGCCGTCACACATCTGCGACGACAAATAAAACTAAGTTATTTATTAATATTATATGAGAAATAATTAAATTCTTTATTAATTGAAAATTTTATCGTATAAAGTTAATATATGACATGATTAAATTATTATAATATAATATAAGTAAGTTGTATACATGACGAATGTCGTTTTAAATGAATATAATAATGTAAATTTCTAAAAAGTAAAAAGTATTTTAAATTTTAGACAAGGACCTCTCTCTCTCTCTCTCTCTCTCTCTCTCTATTTAAATTTAAGTATAAATTTTTAAAATATCCTCGTGTAATACACAAGTATTTTGTACTAGTAGGTAATTACATATACATTACACAAAGGTAAACGCAAAGATACATGAAGGATTACATAAAAAGAAAAAGAAAGAGGAAGGGAAAATAAAAAGTACAATCTACACTGATAAATTCATTGTGGGTCCTTAGGCGGTGGTGGTGGGAAGTGCGCGTTTGATTTTGACCCAATGTTTGTCCACATCGAATGTGTACCAAAGATGTGTACGATCTTTTTAGTATAAATAAGTCAATTGTCCTTTGGCTACAATTATTTTTTTACATTTTCTCTCATATCTAGAAGGAAATTATTATTTGAAGAAATCCTAATTTGTGGGTTATATAACCCTGGATGTATTTTGCTGGTGAGATAAGTGAAGTTGGTGTAGCGGTTGACGGTGGCCGTAGACGTAGGCAATATTCCCTGTACCAGTTGTCAATTTGGTGTTATTTCCTTTTTCGTCATTTATTTCCTGCATTTATTTGTGTTAGACTTATTTTCGCTTGTAGTAGTGCTTGCTATTATTTGTTGGCGGGGTATTTTTGTCTGCAACGCTTGTTGCGTTACAACAACGAGAGTCTAGTTTGGAGTCCTAGTGGCTGAAACAAGCGTCATTACGATCCTATTGGGTGAACAGAGACTCAAGGTTCATGTCAAATGAGGCGAAGGAGGTGTCGAACCCAAAGCTCTGATCAAAGGAATCGAACTGGGACTCATTGTGGGACCACCGGGCATCATCAAAGGTCTTCTTGACTGTTCATTGTTAATTATTCTGGTCCCGACGTGCTTGTTGGTTCTAATCGGGCTCCCATGTATTCCAACGGGCGTTGTCCTGGCCATCCTTGTATCATATTGGGCCCACCATTCATCCTGTTGCTCCCAACATCGGTCATGGGCATCGACCCTAGATAAACACCGTCGGTCTAGGAAAGACAAATGCTCGATTCATGCTAATTAAGTGCTTTGCAATTGAACCTCTTTGCCTTCAAATAAAGGACAAAAACACGGAAATGACAAAAAATATGAGAACCTAAATAAAACAAACTACACGAGATAACCAAGAGGTGTAGGAATGACGGGAAGGGATACCTCAGTTGGTCGCACTCTTCACTTGTGACCAATAGGTCTCGAGTTCGAGTCATACAGGGGTAAGTGGGAAACCACTATCTATTAAAAAAAAAAAAGAAGAAAAAAAACCAAGTGGACTTGGAAATAGTACTAGAATAATACTTAAAAGTCAAAGACTAAAAACCCAAATAATTACATAAAATAATAACAAAGGCGTTATATACATATTACACATATCTCATGACAGTTTATTTATTTATGTATATATCTATATATAAACACATATAGTTGGTGCAGTAATAGGCATCTCTAAGTGCAAGATGCCTTAGTTTCACTTCTTTCTTTTGTTTTCTTTTTGGTGGTTATTTAATTATAGGCCTTGTTGCTCTTGAATTCTATGGAAATAACTCTCCTTCAAACCTCTCCAGAAAACAATGTTGCTGCAGCAATCGTCATGGCAGAACAATGTCAGGATGAGTAATTTGGTTGAGCAAGTAAGCTGTGGTACTTAATCATTTCATTTTTCATATGATTTTGAAACATTTATAATGACTAGGAAGTTGCACGTGCTACGCACGTGATATTTTTTTTTTTCACATTGATTTTAGTAGTAGGTTTATATTTAATAGTATAATATAATTTTCTTTCAATTAGTTTAACAA